AAATTTGTAAGCATCAAAACTGGCATCTACTCCATTGAAGTCTGTTGACTTTTATTTCCCCTACGGTGCATAGCAGGAAATAATGCCAAAGCCAAGACCCGCTTTTTGCGTTATTATGTGTCATGTAACAAGCTTACCGCATTGTGTGCTTTGAGCACATATTACACTAGTGCCCGACAGCATACAGGACACACCTAAGCAATTGGGTGAGTCAGGTAAACTGCAATTGGCAGGCTGTGGCCAGAACAAAAGCTAACGCAACGGATGTGTGTGACAGATATTGCGCGTACGCCTTGTATGTCAAGACTTTTTTTGCCTTAAGTCGTTACATGCTGACCTTTATCTTGGGGAGGCAACAAGAGCATATTTTTGATGAAACAGCTTCCTCTTTCTTATTTTTCGTCCGCCCGGCTGCCTGTCACATGCAGTATTTAGCCAAAAATTCTGGTTATTTTTTCGTTATTTCTTATGTTATGTGGTGCGACTGTAGCATACATATACTTGGAATGGGCTTAATATTCGTAACATCATGACGCAGCTGACAGGCGACCACAGGTGCGTGTCGTCTTTTTCCTTAGCCGTTGACATTTATGCAACATTCATTAAGTTTACCACACACGACACACACACAATTCACGTCAGCGGACGAAGCCCCAGTCTTATCTTCATTTTCATTACCATCAACTCTTTGGGCTCCGTGTCTGATGTGTTTTATGAAAAGTATTTCGTGCCGAGGCTAACCACAGTCGATTTTCTTGCTTTTATGAGCTCTTGTCAGGTGTGAGCTTACTTAATGCCAGATCTCAGAAATGTACCCCTTGTCTGTCTGTGGCCAGAAAGCTTAACGCAACATGTTTCATGAATATGTTGCCTACTTCTGTGCGCACTTGTTGTCATTTGAAAGAACTACAAATATGGCACTTGATTTGAGGACTCTTAAATAAACACAAAATATTTAAAGCTAGTGAAAGCCATGCAAATGAACTAAATTGAATGTTAGACAATGAAGCTTCAGCTAACTTTTATTCAGCATAAGCTTGAAATTGCCAAATGGAATTTGAATGTGGGTAAAAAAAGTTAAATCCTATCAGCTCAAACCATCAATTGCCATAGAATTACAATATTGAGTGGCATGAATGCACGATAGATAAATAAATACTTGAAAATATCGTAAACCGTCCTACTTTCAATTGCTGCAGAGCCTTTTTTTAATAACTGAGATGTTCTACATTTTATAACTTCTCATAAAGAATGCAGAGCCTTTTAACCGAGTAGCTTAGCAGACAAATACCAATTCACAGCAGCTAAATCATGCCCGTCGAGCACTTGGCAACAAGCTTGGAAAAACATGAATATCACACATACGACACGTTGCACGCGCCAGACTACTTAATTTAGTTGCTTTGGCATTGTGCGTAAATTTCGAAAATCCAAAAAACAAAAAAAAAAAAAACAAAAATAGAACACTTTGTAAGTCAGCCGCGAGCAATTCATTACTATTTGATGTTGGAACAATTGGAATTTATGTGCCCAGCGGGCCAGGATAATTGACAAGCCGCAAGGCAGGGTGCAGGACCGAGGCCCATAATTCACTCGACTCAATTGCTGAAGCAAGTAAACAAGTTCTGGACGTGTGCTTTACAAGCACGGGCCAAGTGAAAGATATTTAGTTTATTGTGCGTGCTGTGTGTGGAAAAATCGCAGCCAAATTGTGCGCAGCAAATTTCTCGGATGAAAGGTCAAAAGGTGCTGGCCAAATTGCCCAAATGGTTTGCCACTATAAGGTGCCAATTACTGTCAAGCTGTCAAATCCTTTAACGCACTCGCTTGGAGTCGTTTTAATGTCAATCCTGTGAAACATATTTATCCTTTGTTGCACCATTAAACATGTTTTCCGTTTTGGGATTTTCATTTTGCCCTTACTCAGAATTGCTTTGTTGCGCTAAGAATAAACCTTTTCAAAAGCCAATTGAATACCATTTCGTTTCGTATCGCACTTATTTCAATGTGCTTTTGTTATAGATAGCACAAAGCCAGAGCTATACAGGGCCAATAACAGGTCAGTTATTGCAGTTATAATTGAAAAATTGTCGGTATAATTGACTTATTATATGCGTTTAATTGTAAGTAAGCCTAAGTACGTAAGCTTATCTAATTGCATGTCAAGCGCCCATTTTGTGTCCACTTAGATCACAATATTAATATTGACTGGTTTGACGACAGCTACCAATTGATATTTAATGAAAAGTTCACGGTCATATCTTTAGTAAATTAGACATTTTGCAATTTGTTTAAAGCCAATCAGATGGTAAGCAAAAATGATACAAGCAGCTGTATTTCTACACTTGCTTTATGAATTGTCAATCTTTGTCTGCCCTTTCATTATTATAAGATATTAAAGTCGTAGCTCTTAACATCAATCAATCAGCCGGTCAATCATTGACTTATGTCACTTATAGTGCCTGAGGTCGGAGAGATAGGCATCTACATTTGCCTGGCTAGATCGACTCGGCTGTTAAGAAACCCTTTTAAACCATTATTGGGTAATAAAATAATCAAAATATGGACATAATTGCAAAAAGCTGCAAAAGACAATCGTATTTAGCCTCAAACGAGGAATGGGGCAAGCGAAAAACAGCTAAAAACCATTAACGGGAAAATCAAGTCAATTAATTTATTTTCATATTTAAAATGGTGGTGTTTGTCGAGCACTAAATTCCACAGCTCGTAAAATCCCGCTAAGTGCGCATTAGCCGCTGATGCGTAGGCAGGCGCCATTTTGTATCGCGCCGCTGTCGGAGCTCTCTGGGGAATCAAATCAAAATAAGGCCCAAACAAGGCGCGAGTTAATTGAATTTATTGTTGTGCTGGATTTTTTTTTGTTTTTGGTTTGACTTGTTTTTTTTTTTTTTTTTTTTTTCGCTGCTTTCATGGCCAATATGCTGGGCCATTTGTTAACATGCGTGTGCGGCGCTCAAAATTTTTGGTATTTTAATTTGCACATGTTTTTGTTTTGTTTGCTTGGTTTTTCTTTAGGTCCTTGCTTGCCATTGTGTTGCGACTGTAAATTTTCACCAGATCTTTTTTGCAGGAGCGCAAATTGGTTTTCTTTTTGCAAGCACGTGGCGGATTGGGTGTATGTTGGGGCTTCGAGTAAAGCTTGCCAAGGCTTTTAGCAACAATTTTCACTTCCAACGCCATTTTGCCATTTTGTTAGCTGTTTGTTTGCTGTGTGGGAGTATGCGTGTGTGTGTGTGTGTGTGTGTGTGTGTGTGTGTGTGTGTGAGCTCGAGTTTGTATAGGTGGCGTCTGGCTGACGCATGTATTTATTTTCATTTGTCTGCATTTAATGTGCGGCCAAAAAAAGAGCCGCGCAACAAAAGAGGTTTACTTTTCGACATTTGGCTGCTGTGGTTCCTCGCATTTGCTTTACGGTTATGTGCGGTTTACTTTTAAAAGGGGGCTTTCAAAATATTAAGCTCAGCATAACCTGTGGCCATAACAACACATTCTTTTTAGCAAAAATGTAATTCAATTTTTGAAAACAAAGAAAATGCTTAAAGCAAATGTTTTTGTTTGTTTCAGCTTGGAACTTTAGAGTTTTATATTCAAACTATTTATTCAAGATTCAAGACCTGAGAAGTTAACAATAAAATAACATTTATATAGACTTGTCTATTCAGACCAAAATTTACATACGTGAAATGGATGAAATCCTTTTATACTTTCGAAAAATGGTATACTATGAACTTTTCTTAGACCAGATGGATCAGCGAAAGACCTTAATATTTTTTTGGCTAGGGTATTAAATCTTCGGTGCTCCATTGCTGTGTTCAACTTTGTTTTTGTGCTTTCTTCTCTTGTTCTTTTCCAGCTGTCGAGGAGTCTATATAAATCCAACTTGTTGAAATTGCCTTTGCAATGCAAATTTATGCAACTAAAGGTTGCTCGTAATAAACTGTCGGACTCTTTGGAAAAATGGATGGCACGCAGAGTAGACCAAAGAAATTTAAGCTAAAGCTGCAATTATCTTTTAGATATGCATGTGTTTTTCTTGAGTGCAAAACTTAAGGGACTTGCACCTAAATTGACTTACTTTGCCTTCATTTACAATTCGGCTATTTTGTCTAGTTAAATGTTTTACATCAAGCATGTTTAATGTTACGGCTTTCGAGATAAATCCTGAAACCTGCGCACATTTGCACATGTTTAATACATATAAATGATGTGGTGTATCTGTAATTCCCTGATGTAAAGTAAAAAAAAAAAACAAACAAAAAATAAAATAAATACGCTTTAGCAGCTTAAAGTTGACTTTAATGCCAGCATATTTGAGCTCTTGCCTTTTATTTTGTCTTATGTAGCTCCCACAGAGGCTGTTAAAGGGGTGAATGGTGTTCACTTGGTTCAGGTGTTCTATATAATAAACGTACATATCTACGTATGTACAAATATGTCTCTGTAAAGCAATAAAATATGTGGTCTGGTCTTGTGTTTGCCTGGCGAGCAGGGTCATGCTCAAACAAATAAATAAAAATGTACATATGCATCTAAATATGTTGATCAATTTGAATATATTTCTATATTGTTTTAATTTTACATATATTTCTTTGAAATTATGAAACGAACAACAATATTGAACTTTAAAATATGTATATCAAGCAGAAAAATCGTTGCAGTGATATATCATAAGGATATTGTTGAACAACCTTCAATTGGTAAATTAGTTTGTATTATTTCTAAACAAATCCAAATAATAATAGTCAAAAATATAAAATTAAGTCTGTTTATTTATTTTTATTCAAATTTCCATAATTATCCACGATATTGCTTGCATTGCATGGCTTAGAATTTAGTTTAATAGAAAAGTTAAGGCTCCCATTGAAGTCCTTACAATCAATTAAATTGTTTAAAGACAAAGTTTAGTATTGAAATTATATTTGTCGATTAAAGCTTTAAGCGTTTTACATAATGTTTTTCCCTTTGCTATTTTCTTGCAGATGCCTGCCATCCGTACGAGCCTTTCAAGTGCCCCGGCGACGGTAATTGCATTTCCATACAATATTTATGCGATGGTGCGCCCGACTGCTCCGACGGCTACGACGAGGACATGCGTCTTTGCACTGCTGGTAAGTCCCAGAGACATTGGTTCGAAATTACTTCTGGCTTTCAATTGTAGCTGCCTGCAACGACCAGTTAGCCAGAGCCAGAGCCAGCGCCAGCGCCAGAGTTGGCTTTAATTGTATGCAAACGGTTGGCCATCTGGTTGGCCATAAATAATTTGGTTAGATCCATTGATTTTCAAGCAAAATCAATGCCAAGAAATGGTGCAATTTTGATTTGTGGCTGCCAGTCACAAGCCACAATCCAATTTTCCAAAGGCCCATCAGAATATTGCACTCATGGCTGAGCAGCATGGTTCCGACTGAAGTTGTCAAATGCTTCTGTCAAGAAGCCAGCAGGAAATTAAAGGCCGTATTTCAATTAGGCCCTGTGTATGTGTGTGTGTGTGTGTATCTTCAACTGTCTGTGTCATGTCAAGGGCAGCTGTACATGTGTCAAAGGCCAAAATGACTTACACAACCGGTACACGTATTCGGTGCCATTCATCTCTGACAACTGGCAACTGGCAACTGGCCACGGTATGGAACTTATAAAGCATGCTGTTGCACTTTCCAAGATTTGTGCACAACTTGTTATTCTATTTTTGGTTTGCTGCTCGCTTGAATCTAATCAAATTAGCCACATAGCTGCAAAGTTTACCAGCGAATCAAAAAGTTTCCATTCCACTCGTCTATTCGAATGGTCCAACTTCCTGCTGAGAATTGAACGTGTAAGATATGCTACAAAACTTTGAAAAGAACTGATGCTTGGTTTAGAGCAAGGCTAATAAAATAATTGAAAATTCTGCACAAGCTACTCCATTTCCAATCGAAGCAGCCATGTTTCTTGTATGCCTTGACTACAAAAATTAAATATTTATGCACATAATCTCTTAGTCAGCCCGTAAAGCGCGGTACAACAATATTCGAGTCAACTCTCTTGTTTTTTTAAGTATTAAGTTATAAGAGGAAGCAGGTGAATGGAGAGTGAGAGAGCGACAGAGAGACAAAAGAAATCAGATGATTAAAAAACATGTTTTATGAAATTATTTATATAATCCAAGTACATTTTTTTTATTATATTGATGAGAATCGCATAGTAGAGTAATTCTCAAAAATAAGTTTGTTTGTTTGTTTTTTTTTTAATGGCAGAGTAGCGTGTATTACCCGGCCTTGCGCTGGCACGGTTTTTATGTTTTATTTGTAAACACAAACGGTTTTTTATATAGATAATTGATTGCATTTATGACCTGGCAAAACAATTGCGAATAATCAACAAAATAATTAAACAAATTGCGCAATAATTAAAGGAAAAATAATTGAATTTGATATTAATGCTGCCGATGCAAATCTCGTAATAAATATTGTGCAAAATCCTGACGATATATTGTTGCTGGGTGATAAATATAATTTTTGGCACATAAACTAGTTGAATAAGTAAAGATATATCTAAAGAAATTACGCACTGTGGTCGAGCAAACAATGGGGAAAATTCGGTGCCTAATTTTTTGAGGGGCACCGACTGCCGGGCAAACAAACGGCCACGGCGCTGGCAGCGAAACTTTAAGCAAACAGAAAATTGTTGCCACTAATTGCCTCAATTCACTTGACTGAAACCTGAAAGTCGCCGGCAGGCGGGCCAGGCAGGGCAGACGCATCCAGTTGCTGAGGGCCTTCGCCTTCGCTAGACTCCGTTGCCAGGGCACGCAGAGGCCGCAGTGCAAAGTCGGGCGCATTGTGGCGTATATTTTCCGTGCACCATTGTTATTCTACAACAAAAACCAAAAGGAAAAGACAAAAACAAAAAAGAATAAACTATTTTCGACAATGAAATCATTTAGGAAGTGTCGGTCTCGGTCTCGGTCTCGGTCTCGATCTGGGTCTAATGTGCGCGCAAGTTATAGCGCCTGGCTCAAATGTCTTTGATAAATTATGCGCCCCACCCAATGTGGTTCCCCCTGACCAGCTAGTGTGTGGGGCTAAATGGCAGGCTCAAGTTGCCGTCAGTCCGGTGTTTTTTTTTTTTTTTCTTGTGTGCCTGGCAGCAGTCCTGCGGCTTCCTTTGACTTGTTTCCACCTCAGCCAATTGTTGCTGCATTGTACAATGGCATAAAGTGCCATAGAGAGTGGCTTTTCTCATCAGGTGGGGCCGAATGGTGAAAACAAATGTTAAATGTGCTAGTAAATGAATAATAATTAATTAATCTTTACGTCTTAGAAATACTCAACTGAGATCATGACTAGAGGACGCAAAATGAGAGCCTAATTAATTCACTTTCCGTTAAAGAATTCAATTAAAATGTATCGAGTAGCTTAAAATGTTAACCGAATGCTGTTCGCACAAGGTAATACAATACAAAAATTGAATAGAAAGTAATATAAAATATAAAATTAAATAAATAATAAAAATTGTATATATATAAAAGGAAAACAAACGTATGCCATTTCCTAATAAAAAGGAGTAAAACTGCAATAAATATTAAAAAAAAAAGTTTGATACGCTGCACTTGAATACCCCTGGGAAATTAACATAAATTTGCATACATTTTAACAACAGTTAAAAGTTAACATTGCCGTTTTCCATGAAGTGCTGCGACTGCTGCAGGGCCAGCGACCAAAGAGCCTGCAAATGTTAGTTGGCCTTATCTTAGCTGCTGATATACATCGCCTGAATATGTAACAAGTTAAAGGCAAACAGGCGACACACACACACACACACACACACACGCACACAATGCTCGGGGCATGTAAAACTGTGGCGTTCCCAGGCGATATATCCTGACCATACATGCACTGGGTCTCACATAGATGCCAACAGCACAACAAAAGAGCACAAAAAAATGCAAGAAAAAAAACTGGCAAACTGCGCCATTTGCATAACAAATACAGCCAGTAACTGAATCAACTCACACACACACACACACATATATATATACACCCACATACTACAGATCCGTCGACTACCGTGTCCTTGCAACCATTAAAAATGCCAACAAGCTTCGGTATATGTACATAAGGGACACTCACCGAGTCTCAAAAGTGCAGCGGGTGGGTTAAAAGCCGACAACGAGCGCCGCAAACTTAACTATTCTTTGATGGACTGACAGAGCAACTGACTTACCTAAAATTGTCACCAATTTGTCGAAAAAAAAAAAAAAAACTAGTAAGAGGTTCTAGTCGGGAGCTCCCGACTAGGGGATACCCTGAACCCTCTTCTTCCAACATCAAATGCATATATATATTCTATTTTAGAAGCTATGTGTCAAGTTTGGTGACTCTAGCTCTTATAATTTACCAAAGATGCCCAATAAACAGGATATCGATATCGATTTTTATCGATTGCTTGGAAACGGAGTTATCGATTATCGGAAACAAACTCGATCTGCGCAGGTACATTTCAAGTCTCTAGCTCTTATAGGTTCTATGATCCTTGCGTTCATACATACGGACAGACGGACAGACAGACAGACGGACATGGCGAGATCGACTCGGCTATCAAGAATATATATACTTTACGGGGTCGGAGATGCGTCCTTCCTACATACATTTGGATTTTGCACAAATACAATATACCCTTAAACCCATTTTAAATGGGTTCAGGGTATAAAAAGGCAATAGAAATACAATAAATGACAAAAGTTTCAGCAACCTTTTATATAGATACATCAATTTAAAATAAATTGAAAGAAACGTTCTTAAAATTGGGAAATTAATATTAAATTGGTTTCTGCGGGATTTCGGTTAAATATTTAAAGAGCTCTCCACTAGCAACAATTACAAGTCTCTTTCTGAAAGCGTGTGTCATTTGCTTAGTAATGAAATAAACGAGCAATCAATGCATATAAATGAGTTCGAAGGACCTGCGAAGCTTAAATGCTTACAGTAAGTAGCTGCCATTTGGGTAAGAGTCCACTTTCAAGCATTTGAAGCAGGGCAGCTTTATAATAATTCCTTGCAACTTTGACATGTTTCTGAACATCGGACTAACGAGCGAGTGGTCGCCGGTTCAAATGCAGCAGCCATAGTCAATTTGTATATTTCTTTGTTTTATCAAACAAGCAATACCTGGACGCATGTTGGTAATTTGGCTTGTATTAGCCCCATCTCGCAAATTACACAAACTATTTCGTTGAACATTATTCTTCAACAATTTCTTCTCTTTACTTGATATACAAAACAGTAAAAATGGTGTTTGTATTTTATTATGATTTGAGCCAAAGCATGGAAACTAGTTTTATTGAAGAACAGACTAAATCTTTCCAAATTCTGATAAAACAGTTCTTAATCATAGCTGAACAATATACATTTAAAACTATATTTATATTATTACATATTGTTTATTATTATTGTTTTATAGTATGTTTTTGGTTAACTCGGTTAACTATCAGCATTGTAAAATATAATTATTTAGAAACTGGCCACATGTGAGAAGTGCCAACTTTGTATCCTAATCTAATGAATAATGCATTTTGATAGATAATTTCCGTATTTCATTATGACAAGGCAGTCGTTTTCTCTTTTGCCTTGACTAGGAAATACGTATACATAAATGAGATTGATAAGTTAATCATAGTAAGAATATTCTCAGAGATTAAGTTAATTAAATTACCGAAACTATTCTTAAATAATGAGAATCGCATAGTAAGGCGGTTGGTATAAAAGCATATTATGTGCTCTCGCACGGGCCAAGTTTTCATATTTAAACTGTAAACACAACTTTTCCACCCATTAAACTGTTGAAACAACATTTTCACTCCATGAAGTAGATTTATACAATTTAAAAAGCAGTTTTTTAAATTGACGTCGAAAAGTGCAATCCAGAGTTAATCAGTCAGGAAAAACAATTTTAGTAAAAGCCAGAACGTGTTCTTTAATTATTTAACATGAGTTCTGCATGTGCCATTAGTTTTGCATTTATTATTAATATTGAATAATTGATTATAATGTTGATTAGATTACTGGAATATGCAGGAGCTGGTATGCAAAAAGCCAGGCGATTAATTAATGCTGATAGCACACATTATGCTGTTGTTGCAACATTAAAATTAATGGACAAAATTCAAATTGAAAGGCTGTCAATGAACTTATCTATACTTCTGTCTCTCTCACTTTCTATCCAACGCTCTCCCTTTCTGTTTGGCTCTTTCAACAGCATGTGCCTAACGGATGCAACTAGTCTCGTGAGATATGAGTGTTATGACCCTCCTGTTGCCACTTAACATACAACACGTGCCTCGGGTTAATTATAAGCAATTTGTAAAATGTTCTTGCCTTTATTTTTACTTGCAGCCAAACGCCCACCTGTCGAAGAGACTGCATCATTTTTGCAGAGCCTAATCGCCTCACATGGACCCAATTATCTGGAGAAACTTTTTGGCAGCAAGGCACGTGATGCCCTCTCCCCGTTGGGCGGTGTGGAAAAGGTGGCCATCGCTTTGAGCGAATCGCAAACGATTGAGGACTTTGGAGCCGCATTGCACCTAATGAGGTATGGTCAGAAACTTGAGTCCCTTCCCAATGCTTGGGGCGCTATTCATGCGCTTAGTTTGTTATCTGGAACCCTTTGGTAGATGTAGAACAATTTTAATTTAGTGCCTCCAGTAGCACAGCATCCCATATAAATAATGAAAGCTCTTAAATAAACTTAACACAACCCCAAAGCTATTTTAACTTTTGGTAGTTTTTCCCTCTGCTGCTTTACAATGGCAAGGCTGCGCTTCTTCTGCTCGTGTGCACCCCAGTCCTGTCTCACTGGCCAGGTCTGGTGTTTTGTACAACATATCCAGCAGCGTCCTTGGCGATTCTCTTGAAATATACGTGTGTCCTTTACACCGCTTTTATAGTTCTCTGCGCTCCACCACAAACAAGTTATGAAATTTTAAAATATCGTATGTTTACCCTTTTGCTTGTTTGCTTTTTGTCTGTGTCTGTTCTTTATTTGAATACTTTTTTCTATGGTTGACAGTTTTGCACACGGGCTTTAAGGACTTCATCCCTACATTATACCCTGTGCCCATAAAAATGTTTAAGAAGGGTCGAAGAATGTCGTGCCAACATAGTTATGGAATGAAGGTCGTTTATATATTTATACATATGTATATATACATTGTTTTTTTCGAGGCTTTCATATTCGTTTTTTTGACTAAATTAAAATACTAAGGTATCTAGTGCTCGTGCCTTTACAATAACAGAATCTTTTATAATTAAGCTTATGCTTATTTAAAGTTTGCATATTTCCACATGCATGTCCCGTTGTTTGTATAAACGATTATTTAGCAAAGGCATTAAAATTACAAGTAAGAGCGCTGCAGTCGGGTGTGCCCGACTTGAAGATTCCCAGGCTGCAATGCAAATGTGCTTAAACTGGCCTTGAATTCTCATCATGATCCGATGTTAATGAAAATTTTAAAGCTTTAAGTATGTCATTCAAATGTGTGCAGATACTAAGAGCTAGGAATTTACATTCAAAGCCTGCAACTGGATTAATTGTATTAAATAAAATATTTTGCATTTGTATTTTTTTGGTATCTCTAGTTCTAGCGGCTATTTATGCTAGCCAGGAATATATAGATAATATATATATATGTATCTATTATATACCAGCAAATACTCCTTCTGCCTGTTACATACCGACCTCAGCAGCCATTGGGGGAAATTTTCATTAAATTAGAATAATAAAAGCTAACCACAAAACGTCAGCAATAGCAATGAGATTTGCCCAAAAATGGCAGTCGCTCGGTCGTACAATTAACTGAAGTGTAGCTAATTGTGGACAAGCTAGTCCCATAAAGAGCCCCGACAAACAGGCTGATTAATTGGCAACAACTCTCGAGCCTAACTAGTAGACCTGCTCTCTGTGCGGCTGCTCCTCCTCGTTTGCTGGTACTTATAAAATTTCATCAACTCAATTAATCGTGCCCCAGCCGAAAGCTTGCGACCGGGCAGGATATGGGCTCGGGCCGCATGTACTTCAACATCAACTAATTAAGTAATTACATTTTCCAAGGATTTTTTTTAAATTTTGTATTCTTTCGGGCTTTACCATTCCGATAGAGAAGCATTAGTTAGAATGTCAATCAATTGTCGAAGGCAACGTACTAGTTCATCTAAAAAAACTGTTAGCTTACTTGAAGTAAGTGCACGAGATCATGAGGTTTTCAACATTTTTCACTTTCTGGGCAACTTCAAAGTTATACTCAAAGATCTCTATACCTTTTTCCGCAGTATTTGGCTTGGCTCAGAAGGTTCTGAGAGATAATAAAACAAATTAAAGCATTCAAGATCTTGGCGAAAATTCACACCATTTCGCAAAGTCGAGACCATTCTGGTTGGCCTTTTTTTTAAGGTGGCCAAAGTTTTTGGATCAAACACATTTACAAGGACTTATGAGACGTGTTTCACCAGAACCAACCCGGCTGAGAGAAAAAATGAGAGTCAAAAGTTGTTCTTAATATTTCAGCTTCGTGCTTAAGGATTCACCTAGTAAAAGTTTCACATTTTTTGAAATTCACACCACTGAACTGAAGTGGGTGGAATATATAGATACAGACTGTCGGATTTCATAGACATATTTGAAGCCCAGAAACTTTGCAGAGGTTTGCCAGTAAATAAATACTTTACTTTTTGTATACACTTCACGCCATTCCTGCAAAATATCCATTTTAAACTAAAAAGTCTTTCGTTTCCTGGTTATGCAAACATTTCGATGGAATATTTATGCCCTACAAATTCCAATGAAGGTGGAACAAAAAAAATTTATTCAAGAAGCAGAGCTGCCATTATGACCTTTAGAAATGCAATTTTAAACAAAACATCTAAAGCCAACGTTTAAAAATGGCCTTTTTGTAAATAAGTCCAATATGCCCTACATATTTATTCAGCTGTTTGGTAGATTTGAAAATGCCCACAGACATTTGTGGTTTTCCATTGAGCGTACCTTACTTCTAGAGAGGACATAAGCACTAGGAAAAAAGGTGAAAGAGTAAAGACAAAAACAACAATATTTATAAGCTTGAGCTTTTGCTTTTATTATCATCATGACCTGATGATTTACCTGTACCCTATTAACGAGCCTTGACAGCAGCTAGACCTACATTGACGAGAAGTCATCTCGATATATCTAAAGCGGTCTATGACAGTGTTTATGTGTGATTGAAATAGAAAAGAACTGCATTTGAATACACTTTTTTTGCAGATCTGACTTGGAGCATTTACGTTCCGTTTTTATGGCTGTGGAGAATGGCGATCTTGGCATGTTGAAGTCGCTTGGCATCAAGGACTCGGAACTGGGTGATGTGAAGTTCTTTTTGGAGAAATTGGTCAATACCGGTTTCCTTGACTGAGTAGCGCCGGATCCGGCTTCTGGATTTTATTATGCACACGCACAGCCCATCAATCCTAATTTCTATTCATATCTGGGCACGCCCTATGATAATTACAATTATTAGAAAGGTGTTGCATTAAATCTTTACATTCAGCAATATAAATCGATACACACGATTAAAACACTCACACATCCGTACACGAACACACTCGTACATCTGATATTTTCTCAAAACTTTCACAGTTTTATTAGTTTTCCAAAATATACTCCTTGGTTTTATGCTGTTTCTTGCCTGTCCAACGCTTGATTTTCTTTCAATTTTCAAACATCTCTTTTAGAAAAAAAATCACAAAAATATAAAAAAAATGAAAAATATTACAAAAGAACCAAAAAAAATAAAAACGCTACTCTGCAAAAATATGTTGGTCAATTGCAAAAATATACCAAAATGACGTTTAAACGGCTTCTCTACTATATCAAGAACTTTCTCCCAATTCTTCTGCGCTCTTTCAATCGGTCTGCATTCTTAGCTCTTAGTTCGTTTGTGTTGGTAAACTTCGTCAAATTTTGAGAAAATTAACGCGCATCTTTCAGTAACTAAATCAAATTCTCAAGACAATTGAAAACATTACAAAAAATAATTCACGCAAAAGTAAAAGCAAAATGTAGAAGCGGGATCGTTCGGCAAAAGAAAACAAAGAAAACAAAAAGAATAAGAAAAAAAAAAACCCAAAAAAATATATATATAAATATTTATAAAATGATATCTTTCTTAAATGTGTATTTGTAAGTGTTTCAAGAGGCCTCACAACAAATCTAGTTTCAATCCCCCAAAAACACACTCAAGGTATTCACTCAAAGCAGAAATCCTACAAAAATTGTACGTTTCAGCGGCAAAGAAACCAAGGCTATCAGTACAGAACCTTCCAAGAAATAATGCTTAATATCGACCCCACAAGTGTATGTTTAACTTTTTGAAAATTCTTTTCTATATACACACAGTTTTTTGTCTATTTATATAGTATATAGATATTGGGACATATCGTCTAGAGCTTAGAGTATAAACCACTAGCAAGCCCTGCAGCTATTGTTGTTCAATTGAAGACGTGTAGACAAGCATTCAATGTTTCAATTCGCAACTATGCGAAATACATATATACGCATACATATATATATATTTATTATTATAGTAAGATAAATAATCGCAAATGTCGGGCTACTGTACACAATGCAATAGCTGAAAAACAAAACACACACAATTGTCAAGTTGCATAATTTGCAAATATTAAATGTTTGGAAACTAGTTAAACAACTGGTAGATAAATAAACATTCTTATCACAATATTAACCTTGCTTAAATTGAGAAAAAATGTGTGTTAGCTTATTAAACGTTTTAGCACAAGACCTATCTATCAATTAATAAACCAATTAAATCAAATAAATATATATATATATAAAAAAAAAAAAAGTATAGTAACCAAAATGAAGCTCATGAGATTACAGTTTTTAGCAGCCAATTTTGTTCATGACTCAAAAACTGACCCTCAAACCGATATGAAAAAAAAAGATATAAGAATATTATCTGGAAAACCAAGAACAAAATTGACTTCTAAAACTATATTTAGCCCTAATCTAAATTTGTATCTTTGTCTAATACGCAAGAAAATGTAATCCACCCACATAGCTTATGTCTAGGCCCCTTCGGATTAATATGAGAAGAAAGAGCACGGAATTGTTAATACGCAGTGAAAGTAACTAAGCACATGCCAAACGAGAGATGTGCTCTAAGACAATTCAGTCCAACTCAAATCAAGTATCGAACCCAACGTTTTAATGTCGTCACAAGCAGATAGCTAAAGGAAAACTAACTAAAAAAAAAAAATCAAAAAACACTTAATAATGGAGTTATAAGTACCTTGAATTAGCTGGTAGAAACGCGTATTTAACCAACTATTTGCTAGAAAAAACAATTTTATTTGCTTATTGTCTATTTAAATGCTTAAAAAGACGTACTTATGTGTACACATCAATATATAGAAACCTGATTCAAAGATTCAATTAAGAGTGGTATGAAAAGAAGAATAAAAACAACAGATCCATTGAACTATATATATATATATATATATATAAAAATAATACACGTATATTAATGTAAGTATATAAACAAGCAACTTATATAAAAGTAATATTAGTATGAACACATACATAACACCTAACAATGTGTGTATGTATGTATGCATGTGTATATGCCCCGTGTAAATAAAGAGACAAGCTACATATTTCATATGGATGCAAATGGACGATGAACGCGAACAAGTTGGAAAAAAAACCCAAAAAAAAAAAACCAAACAAAAAAAAACTACTACAAGTGATAATTTGATTATTTTTTATGAATACAATTATAGCATTTGGCATATTTATTGTTATATATAACAAATGATTCAACACTTTTATATATCGTTTACTCGAAAACTATCAAAACGGCTAACATACACATACATATCTTTGCAATTTTGCAACAATTATGCGTTTCTTTGTGCATATTTTTGAACAATTTTAACATTTATTATACAAACCTTAGTACTACTATATATACGATATTATAAGTAAGCCACGAAACTATATCACATACATATCAGCGAATTCGCTATCGATGTTTAAAAACGCTACAAACCAAAAAAAAAAAAAATGAAAAAAAAAAAACAACGTTAATGAAATACGGCAAATAGAAAACGGATTAAAGTCTTAAATTAAGCAAATATGCTACATATCAATAAACTAATGAAAACATATTTAATATGCGTACGAAGAAAACGAAGCAAAAGCGAAGCAAATTCCAAATATATATTTACAAAAAGAAAGAAATAATCTTAAACATAAACCTTTACCAAACCAATTCACTTTAAATATTCTTAATTTTACTTTTTTTTTCTTAATGTGTATTTTTTTTTCTTAAATCGTCTTTGTAACTTGATTCAGTGTTTTAAGCCCAAAACTGACCCAAAACAAATTAAAATGCTGAAGCAATTCTACAAAGCAGTCCGCAAATTTAAAAAAAAAAAACAACAACAAATTTGATATTTTCCTTTCCATTTACCACAGCATGAAATAGTTGCACCCATGCATAGAGTATCTCAATAAGAATTACCAATAAACATATCTGACACAGTGTTAGCAAAACTATTGCAGCAAACAAGAGTTAAGTACTCTTCAAAAATCACACAAAAAAAAAAAATAAAATAAAATAAAATAAATAAAAACAAATAAAAATATTGAATTAAAACCAAACTTGAATCCAATTGCAAACGGACAAAACATTATATCGTATATTGAAAAAAAAAAAAAACAAACAAACAAATTTAAATAAATAACTAAATTCTATGTGTATATGAATATAGATTGAAATGCAACAAAAACTTAAATACAATTTTTGAACATTCCAATGAAGCTATTTCTTTGGTGTGCTGTTTTAAAAACAATTACATTGTTTTACTTAACAAAAAAGGCTTTCAAAGCAAACAAAAACGAGAAAAAAGCGCTATATTCGGCACGCCGAAGTTCTAATACCCTTGCAGACCCAACCTTGCAAAACAAAACGAACTTAATTTTCGACCAATTGTTCCTATTGCAGCTTTTTGATATAGTAGTCCGATGTAAGATTGGAAACATAGTAGAACTTATAAATGGCGAGTTTGTTCAACTTATCTTGAAAAACAAAAATGGTTTTTATTCAACAACCTAATCTTCGACCGATCTATCCTATGGCAGCTATATGATATAGTGCTCCGATGCTGTAGGGATTTTGCATATATTTGAGCAACATAGTAAAAATAATAAATTCCAAGTTTGGTCAAGAAATCTTGTTAAACAAAAGATTTTTTCATATAAGAATCCACTTTTCGACCGATCGTTTCTATGGCAGCTATATGATTTAGAGTTCTGATTAAGGCTTCAATTTTGAGTTAAAATACAAAAGTTCTGTCTGACTTTTTATGCAGGCCGTGCATGAGCTTAAATTGGCTGGATCACTATATCATACAGCATGATTAACAGTGATCGCTAATCTAGAACTTTGTTGTTTTCTTGAAATATCTTTTTGAGAATCCAACTATTGTCGAGCAATAATTAATTTAAAATGGAGCTATCAGTAAGCTGTTGATGGGCTTTACTTGTTTCGATACGTGCATGAAACAAGTTTGAATTCAAGACGAGCGATAAGATACGGCGTTCCGGGCCGGGCGGTTCGGATTCTCCCACACTTCCACCTTTACTTTCGCCCAAACAAGTGAATAGAGACAGAGAGAGAGACAGAGAGAGAGAGAGAGCGCGCGTGAGGGAGACAGTCTTGTAGGAACATTATGAAAGCATCTAAGTTAACAGCTGAGAGCGTTTTCTGTGCGATCTCTTTGCAAATAGAACGTTTCGTTTCTGTATTCAAAAAAAAAAAATAATAAATGTTTATAAGTATTCTAATCAGTTGGGAGACGTTTGCATTGCGTTTCTCATTTGTGCTTATGATAGCCTTCGTAGAAATTTTATTTACTCGCCGTTGATTAGAGGCTCTCGGCGACTGTCGCGTTAGTCGTACTTCATATTTTAGCGCATTCGGTTATCGGTTCAGGTGGGCGCTATTAAAGGTCGGCTTTTGGCTCACGCTGATGCACTGTGCGATGTAATTAATCTAAATGATTTTTACCTAGTGTCAATCCAATGCTCTACAAAAGCGAAAGTGTTGATAACAGCTAATACTCCAGTAATTGTAGTGTCCGTGATCGAGCCGTAGGCGTCGCAGGTGCAAACAAGCGGTTATATTTTCCGAGATGCCCAAAAGTATGTGATCGTCTTTATTAGGAAGAATTGATATAATTCAGATAGATAGATATTTCAGACAGATATATTTCGCTTGGTTAACCAAAAGCTATAAGATATTAGATACAAACCATGCACGATCCCAGCGATTATGATTCAGTCTACAGCGAGGAGGATTTCTTGGATATTGTACAGGGCGCCACAACGCCGCCCTTGATGAACTACGATGAGTTTCTAGTAAAAACGATGGGTGAGTTACGTTTTTTCTTTTTTTTTTTTTAAATTAAGTATGCATATACAATGAATATAGGTGTATGTATGCGGCAGTTCATATTAGAGCTGTCTACACCTGTTGCGCTTATCTTATGTTTACCGTGGCTTTAAATTTTGATAAAATGCCGTTGCGCTGAAGCTTTTGCAGAGTATGTGAAAAGTCTGGCAGTAATATATGCATATAAGACAAGTAAATACTTAAATATACATACTTATATTAATGTATTCTATTATCTATGTATATACTACCATCATTTTAAATGAATATTACCTGAAAGTATACATATTTAATATTGTTCAGTTCCAATTTGACTTTTTTCTGTTTTTCTGTGCCTATCAATTATTTCCAATTCGATTTAAATTGATCATTTTGATGCCAGATCCATGCAACGCGCCAAAATGAAAATGGAACATTTGAGCTGCTGTGCGCTCTCAGAGAGGAACTGTTAATCAACAGTAAAACGAAGCTAACATACTCTTATAGAATTCAACGTTAATAGCATAACTTAACAACAATAATATATATATATTTATAATCATGTATTACTATCTTCAAATCATTAATTACCTTTTATATACACGTAAATTTGTTTATAACACAAAAATTAATTGATTGTATTGGATGGTCAAAGAATAACAGTGTGTAATGGTAATATACTCTCGTGTTAACAGAACCCTCTTCTGCACAGTTTGTACCCGCTCTCATTTGCCTGCTCAGTGTTGCCTGTTAAGACTAGCTTTTTTTAAGTGGGATATTTCTAGCCGTTTTCATTGCAAATAACTTTGTTGTTGTTGTACTATGACAAAGGCGAAACAATAAGATTTAAGGAAATTAACTGATATGTTCAACAATTACACACAAATTCGTGTATTCCAGTACATCGTTGGCCGTTTTTTGTTCAGCTTTAGCGACTTTTTAGCTAGACTTTGCTGCTTCTCAAAAATAGCCAGCACTGTCGCTCACTCTCAAGATCGGTTTGTTCCAATCGCACAGTCACGACAGCGCAGTCGCGCGAGAAACTTCGTTTTAAGTGCGCGGACGGTTTTTCGTTTTATGTTCGAGGTAAAGACAAGAAGAAGAAAAAAAAAACAACAAAAAGGCAAAGAAGAAGCAGCGCAAAAGGGTAGCAATAAAAAGAGTATGAAGCACCGCTTTGCCTTGCGATATTAACCATAAAAGTGGCTCGAAATGTTTAATTAAACGTGTGCAATCAAAATGTGCGCACAGCACGATTTGGCTCAAAGGCAGTGCAAAAATTCAATTAAATGTGGACGCCGACGTTGACGCCATCGTAGGCTGCGACGCAACAAGTTCAAGTGTAGTGTTTGTGTTGCTGCCAACAGGCGACAAGTTGTTTTAAACCAATTTAAAATCATAAAGTGTTTAAAAGTGTTTTATTTAAGTGATATACAAATATATACACATATATAGTAATGCTCGATACGGGCCATATTCGTTTGTGTGTTTAGTTGCAGCGCAAAAACAAATTTTTTTTTTGGCATTTTTGTCTTCAACTCTTTTTCTTGTTCCCACACACACACACACACATACAAAATCATACATACACACATGCACGCACACAAACACATAAATTGTAGTTGTTTTTACTGGCCGATTCTTTGACTCACAAATTACCCGAGACGGCAACAGCGACGTCAGCAGAGTTAGCGGCAGTAAAACTGTTGTCTGTTCCACAATTCCACTGTTTCATATCTGGTTTTCCCTTTCCATGCGCGTGCTTATTGGAATGTGAGCGGCGTATTTACAACGCGTTCCATTTGCCAGCCATGCCGCTAGCTTCAACCCGGTGTTTGTTTTCTGATCGAGCAGCCGAACGGAAGAGCGCAAGTGAAGCAACCACCTGTGCTGCTCTCTCGCTCTCCCTCTCTCTGTGTCTTGCTGCGATAAGAAATACACAAATTGATAAACTAAAAAACGGACTGCACTATCAAAATAAATAAACAGCAACAAAAACAACAAACTAAAAACCATGTTAAATTAACCAGCGAACAACAAATGGCATGCAAACAAACAAGAAACTCATTAAGCCAATAGCCCTGTGCCGTTTAACGGTAGTTTGTTGTTCTCGCCAGCTCGCTCGCTCGCTCGCTCGTATTGCTTTCGTATTTGTGCATGTGCATGTGTGTGTGTGTGTGTTTGTTTCGGCGTGTTTGGTTTTAATTTTTTTTTTTCTCTGTTTATTTTGCTTTTGCAAACATCAAATTCAAGGCTGGTACGCTGCAGGTGTCAGTTTTTATTGCTTCTTTCCCATCAAATTTGCCACCTAATATTTACAAAACAATTTCTTTTTAGAAATCCATGGCGCACCCTTGTTTTTAATAATTATCGCGAAATATTACGAAACAGCAAATCAAGCGAAAAAGTGTAAAGAATGCCAACGAAAGAGCTATAAATAAAATTCGAGGTTTGATAGAAACATAAAGGCTATGTGATTCAACGATTTTTACATTTATAATCTTGAATTAAGCAAATTAAGTGTTTTAAACGCAAACGAAGTTTTGGATTCCAAACAATTTTTAATAAAAGCGACTTACGAAAATGGAACCAGCTATTTTAATAGGTAAGTCGACGGTTCCTTTAACTAAAAACATTATCTCTTAAGATTGGGACATTCTCATTTTTTTTACGAAACTTTTGTTTTTAGCTCCTGACAAGCTCAAGAGTTATTCGGGAGAACTATTATTTCCTTTCTTCTTTATTTTTAAAAGTTTTACCTTTTGTTGAGTGCGACTTAATATGTGCTGTCGATTCGCAGCTGTTTTTCATGATCGAGGATAAGTATGCTGCTCCTTTTGCATATTGTCCATATTCCCTGTTGCCCATACCCTGTTGTTTTTGCTGCTGTATTGAATGCTAAGTGATCGCAGGTTGGATATCATCAGAATTGATGATCACATTGCCAGGGAATTTCAATTAATGATCTGGTAGCTAGACATGTAATCAT